TAATATAGCTTATCATAAGCTATTTGAAGCATGCTCTGAAATCCTATATAAAAGAGTGTAAACTGAAATTTAAGGTGTCTCCATTAATCAAGGGTTATGAAATTCAGAAAATTAAATTCATGGCACTGAACTTTTGCTGTGGAAGAATTTCCGTTTGTTAGTGAAATTTGAATTGCAGTCTTGTCAGTGAGCTTATTACTCCATTTGAGTGAGTCTCTAGAGGGTATGAAGTTGAGAGAAACAGAATTAGATTATTTCATTCATGAAGCAGAGTGGTAGTTATCCCTCTATTGAGAGGGAAGAAATAAGTATTTCTGAAACTTAAGACTGGTGGAAAAAACAAAAATTTTTAAATGTTGTAGGAGGCTTTCAATTTTGTAAGCAAATTTTGCTATTCTTACTGGCCAAAGTTACACTAAATTAGAGATTTGGGGGAGCTTATTTTTTCCAGCCTTTACAAGTACAAGTTAATAATTTTAGTACTAAGTAAAATTCAGTATAATGGGCTGAAGTGGAATAGGTGAATATGTTCCATTTGCCACAGCACTGTTACCCTTAAAAAATTGTGCCCAAGTTATAAAAGTATGGAAGTTTGGAACTTGGAATAATTTTATTGCAGTCTTCCATTACATGGGAAATAGTAACATATCTGATAGCAAGTTTACTTGAAAGATCAGCTGATCATCTCTGTTGCAAATGTTTAATTGGCAAAAAGAAGTCATGTTAAATAAAATCACTGCTTACCGTCACCTGGGTAAAATGGTTATTATTGAAATAGGATGAATGTGGTCAGAGTATCATAGTCGAGAGTGAAGTATTATGCATGAATTATAGATCTCTTGAGTTGAATATGTAGATGGAGTGTCCTACCCAGTTTTGTCTGTCTCTTGGATTTTTCTCCCTAATGTTTATTATCTTATAGCCTTGAGACTCAAGGAGTCAGTGAGAACAGATAGCAAAATTCTACTACCTCTTCTTAACCCCTTTCTTAAAATATTCTCTATGTGTCTCTCTGACATAGTAATCCCGAAGGATTGTGTTACTCCTCTGTGAAAGTTGCACACTTTTCCTTTAAAAATGGTTTTATAATAAGACCTTGTTTATAACTTTTCCAATATTGGTACTTCTTGGCTTCTGACCCAGACCTCAAGTAGAACAGAAAAGGGAATAATGGAGCATTGTTTTTCCATGTTAGCATCTAGGGCATCAGGTTGTTGGTGAAACACTATAATTCAGTGGAATACCTACTCTTCATACTTAGGACTCTTAACACATTTCTTTGAGACTTGTAAATATAAGTGTAAAGCTTGTTACTGTTTATATGCTTAAGAAAAAGCTTTCCAGAATAAGACTGAAATTCAGAATATCATTGATTAAAGTTTTATTTATACAGCTTTAACAACTGCAGAGCATCCCTTAAAATTTTAGCATAAGGACATTAAAAATTGCATGAGATTCAAAGCCCATTAGCAAAATTATTAATTTAAAATCCTAATGTAAATTGCAAATTTTAGAATTTATTTTTAACTCTTATTTATCACATGTTCTAATGTATGTACATAAGTTTCTGTGGCTTAAATAATGTTATTATTTGATAAGTTTTTGTGGTGTGGATGATTGTTATTATTTGATTGTTATACCATATGTGCCCATTAAGATTCTTTTTAATTATAAAATATTTCAAATATACAGAGTAATAATAACAATAATATAAATGCCCTTGTGCTCCTCACAAACTATTTTGCCATATTTGCTTCTGATTTTTAAAGAAATAAAATCCTCCTCTTTTGTACTTCTCCCTGATGCCATCTCCTCTTTCCCTCCCTAGAGCCAACCTACTGTTCTGAAGTCAGTGTAACTTTTCCCTATATAAGCTTTTATATTTCCTCATGTATTTCTATCCATAAATAATACATAGCAGTTTAAAAATATATTTGTAATAGCCTATTGTATGTAATCTTTTATGACTTACTTTTTCACTCAACATAACTGCTGTTTAGTATATTAGTACTTGCCAGTTCATTTCAATTATTATTTTTTGTTATTTTGAGCGGCGCTGCAAGTGTACATCCTTGATAACATTTTCTCATGCAAATGTCCTAGATATTTTGGACATTTGCCCCCAAATGGATTTTTGGGTAGTTGATATGTATAGTCTGTGATTTTAGACCTTGTCAAGTTGCTCTCCAAAGTGGTATGCAAGTTTGTACTGCCAACAGTAAGGTAAGAGAGTTCTGGTTTTCTTGCCTCATCACCAATATTTAGTCTTCTCCAATTTTTAAGTCTTTCTAGTAAGAGCTGTGAGATAATAGCTTTTTGTTTTAATTCGTATATCCTTGGCTAAAAAGAACATTAGCTTTATTTCATATACTTACTGGTCATTGTGAATTTATTATCTATATGCCTACTTTTCTCTGTTACATGGCTGCTTTTAGTTTGTGGGTTGACTCTAATGTGGTTTGTAGCTGTCTTTAATTATATAGAAATTTGCAGTTAAATTTAGCCAAATTTATCATTTTCCTTTATGGTTGAGCCCTTTCTCTGTTAGGTTTTAAAAATTTATTACTTTCCTGAAGTCTAAAAAATTCTAGAGAAAAATTTTTTTCTAAAAAAATTTTCCTTCAAAAGGTATAAATTTCAAAATATGCCTAATTCACCCCAAATCAAATTTTGTGATTGTTTTAAGGTAGAAATCCTACCCCATATTGATAGCCAGTTCTCATAACATCTTTTATTAAACAATACTGCCCATTCTTCATTAACTTTATAGTGGCTCCTCTCTTATATTACCAAATCTTACATGTGCAATTTGGTTTCTGGACTCTGTATTCTGTTCCACTGGCTTACTTACCAGTGTCCATTCTACACAATTGTTTTAATTTAAAAAATAGCATTATAAATAATTTGAAGAGGAGTTAAGTAGTCCTCTACTCTTATTGTTCCAAAAATTTCCTTGGATAGCCATATCCTCTGCTATCCAAGTACTCCCCTTCCCTTGCTTGTTTATTATCATGGCTAGTTTGTCCTCAGCTGTACTATGTTGTTTTATGAAAGAAATTTGGTAAGTGCCCATGTTAAGTTTTATCTGGTGCAATAGGGTGGCTCTTTTGGCTTTGCCAGATCTTATCCTTATGGCCTTCCAACCCAGTTATTCTCTTTTGTTTCAAAATTGGAAACAAAAATTTTGTATATTTGTGATGGAATGCTTAAACTTCTCCATGAATTTGTCTTTTTGTTTTATAAAATTCCTTGCAAAAAAGACTTTGGGCTCAACAAGGTATTTAGCATGGGGGTCTGCTAATCTAAGAAATTTGATGTCTTTTTTTTTTTAACTCTGGATTTCTTTTTAAGGATAGCAGCTTCTTTGGATGGCACCAAAGCATCAAGTAACTTGTATATTTCATATCCAGATTTTATTAGGAGGTTAAGGAACCTCTGTTTCTGTGGCATTCCAAATTGATATGTTATTTCAAAAATATACTGGCTATTTACTCTTTTTAGCAATATGATATGTCTTATAAAATACTCTTAAGAAGAAACCTGTAAAAGACTGCAAGTTTATCCACTTGAGCCTATTTGGTTTGTTAGGTATGGTACTGGATTCTGAAAGACTCCGGTGTATTGTGTGTCCAGGTAATAGTCTTCCTTTTCATTTTTTAAAGATAAAATCTAGGGGCGCCTGGGTGGTTCAGTGGGTTAAAGCCTCTGCCTTGGGCTCAGGTCATAATCCCAGGGTCCTGGGATCGAGCCCCCTGCATCGGGCTTTCTGCTCAGCGGGGAGCCTGCTTCCGCCTCTCTGCCTACTTGTGATCTCTGTCTGTCAAATAAATAAATAAAATCTTTAAGAAAAAATAAATAACTAAAGATAAAATCCATTAATAAGCAGTATTCGTAAGAATTTAGTAGTGCAGTGTTCAGAATGTCTGTTCTGGGCATAGGCACTTCTTGAACTGCAGAACCATAATCATGGGATTCTTCATCAGCTAAAGATAATAGAATTAATGAATTTGGGAAGGCTATACCAGTGGATGGTAAAACGAGAAAGAGAAAGTGATAATATACTTTATGTGGTACCTCAGATTTAATATGCGTATTGATCTTGTACCTTCCAACCTTGCTGAACTAATTTATTCTAAGAGAGAGAGAGAGAGAGAGAGAGAGAGTGTGTGTGTGTGTGTGTGTGTGTGTGTGTGTAAATTCCTTAAGATTTTCTATTATATACAAGAGCATGTCATTGGCAGATAAGGAGTTTTACTTCTTTCCCAGTCTGAATTTGTTTTATTTCTTTTTCTTTTTCTGCCAGTGCAGCATCCCATTTGTGACAACCAAAAATTTCCAGATATTGCTAGATGTTGGTAAAATTGGCCCTAGAGAACCATTGCCTTAGAGCATGGACTAATTAAGCCCTACTGAATAAAAATATTATGTGAGCCACACATTATTTTAAGTGTTGCTAAGTAGCCACATTAAAAAAATGTAGGAAGGAATAGGTAAAATTAATTTTAGTAACATTTTAACTTGGTATCCAAAATACTATTTCAATATGTAATCAATATAAAAATTAGATATTTTACATTTTCTATATTCTCTTTGAGATCCAGTGTGTTATTTTAAATTTATAACACACTGCAAATCAGATAGGAGATTTTTATCAGAAATACTTGATCTGTATTTAGATTTCAGAAAATTTACATTTAAGAAAGTAAATTCACATACCTAAGTTTTCCAAACATACTTAAAAGTTTTCCAATAACTGGATTGCATATCCATTCTTTTTTTTTTCTTTTAAGAATTTTTTTTTAAGATATTATTTATTTGACAGAGATCATAAGTAGGCAGAGGCAGGCAGAGAGAGAGGGAGGCAAGCTCCCCGCTGAGCAGAGAGCCCGATGCAGGGCTTGATCCCAGGACCCTGGGATCATGACCTGAGCCGAAGGTAGAGGCTTTAACCCACTGAGTCACCCAGGCACCCCTGCATGTCCATTCTTTACGGAGAGCTCCAGTTGAGTATTAGAGGTCAGTAAGATGTGTGTTTGTGTTCTTTTTGGGAGACTAGGTCCAGATTAGGTTGTACTTATTATGCTGTACTCTTCAGAGTTTGGAGAATAACCCCAAACATGTGTCCTGGCTATGAGAAGGTTGAACTGCACGATTTTCCATATTTGTCTAAATAGGACATACAGCTAAATCTTGTGGTAAGGGTAAGAAATCTATACATTTTTGAAGCTTTGTTTGTTGAGACTTATCATTTGTTCTGTAAGCAAATATTTGTTAGGTGATAATGTTTTGTAGGCCTGTAAATAAGTAGTCTTCAGTTGGGGAAACAAAGATGAGTTAAATTTATTTCCTTCACTCCAGGAGCTCAAATTTTAGCTCAGGGGATAAACATGCATGCATCTAGTTGTACTCCAGTGTTTTAAGTGGCTTCCTTAGAATTGAAATTTTTTTTAATGTCTTGGAGATGTGAGGAGAGGGTACTATGTCTTGCGAGTATTGAGATGGATATTCTAGGATTTTTGTATAACACATCAGTGAGGTCTGGGGAAAGTATAGGGACCAAACTCCTTTTCATAATTTATAAGAAGACAATCTTTAAATTTTTCCTTTTTTTTTTTTAAGTTAATTTATTTATAATCTCTATACCCAATGTGGGACTCAAACTCATGACCTGGAGATTGTGAGTTGCATGCTTCACCGACTGAGCCAGACAGGCACCCCTAAATTTTTCTTCCTTTTTATTTAACTTTTTTTCCTACTCCCTGGGCGTAGGTGGTTGGGGTTGTCCTTTTTAAGATATGTATGTTCCCCTTTTTTGTGATCTAGCTTGTGAGATAGAGAGTGCTATGTCTAGGCAGATTTTTCAGTGTCATTTGGGATCTTCTTTCTTTTCACTTCTTTTTTGCCATTCCAGTGATTCATTTTCAATGTGTGAGAGAAAGTAAATATTCTAGAGTTCTGGATTCTTCAGTATATTTGTTTTTTGATCTCTAGCTCTAGTGTTAAGGAATTAAAAATGATTTTCTGGTCTGTTATTCTATGTAAGAAATACATGTTACTAATTAAGAATTTGTTTTTTCCTCAGAAACATCAACTCTTCCCTACCATATCCCACACTTGGCTTGTTCAGTCTATCATATGACATTAAAAGACTTGCCTGCCATGGTTAGGCTGTGGTGGAATAGTAGTGAGAAGCGTGTTTTCAATATCGTAGATAGATTTACAAGCAAGTATGTCAGCAGTGTTCTTTCCTTTCAAGAAATTTCTTCTGTGCAAACAAGTACACAACTATTTAATGGCATGACGGTTAGTATTGAATTTTTTCCAGAAAAGTTGTTTGAATACTGGTTATGTCTATCATTTGTAGTGAGTATCATTACAATATTAACAATTGGTTCAGAATTTACAGAAGTTGTCTACTTTATTTTCTGATTCTTGGGTATCAAGTCTTAGTGTATAGATTGAAACAATGTTATAATTTCATTTATTCCCACCAAAGTTTTTGGACATTCATTAATTCGTTCAAAATATATATTGGAATACCTGTAGATTCCAGGCACTGTGTGTCAGTCACTTGGGAAATGAACAGTTTAGGGGTCAAATTCCTACTGTGTAATAAATATACATTCTAATAAAGGGAAAAGAGTGCTACCAGCATGTTTTTTGCATTGGAAACTGGAAAGTGGCTCATTAAGAGGAAGAGTGCTCTGCAGTCAGCGTGGGAAAGATTCATCTGACTGAGGGGGTTAGATGCACCTTTATGGAGGATGATTACTTTGAAGTGGGCAGGGTTGTGTTTTAGGGGCAGTGAGGAGAAAGGTGTTGTATATAGAGAGAACAGTATGGCAAAAGCAAAAAGCTTGGAGATGAGAGTTTAATTTCTGCGATTGCCCTAAGAAATGATGAATAAGCCAGCATTCATACAGAGCAGGATTCCTGAAGGTAAATAGAGAATCAGTTGCTTCCATGATGAATTAGGGCCATGTTGGGAAAGGCCTCAAATGATTATCTAAAATATTTGGTCCTATTTGGCCACTGGTAATTTTCCTTTGAGGCAAATGACACTGTCAGTGTAATAATTGGTAAAATTGCTCTGACTGCAATATATAGTATAGGCTGTTGGCATGGAGCTTGGGTTCAAATACGCAGTCAGGGGAGACGCACTGGTGTAGACATTGTGAATAACAAGGAGGGCCTGAGTGAGGCAATATCAGTGGGAATGTTCCATAAAAGGAGAGGTATGTTAAAAATCTTGTGATGATTTATCCAAACTTGTAGCTAGTTAATATCTGGGAGGAGGAGGAAGAAGGAAAAATTTAATATGATGCTCTGGCTTTTAGCTTGGAAATAGGACAGTCAGAAGAGTGCATGGGTCAAGCATGATAATTTGCGTTTTATGTTGTTTGCAGTGCTAGTATGAAAACTATAAATCTAACAGTTGATGGTTGACTTTAGAGCTCAAGGGAATTCTATGGCAGAGAAAGACTTAGGGGACTTCCAGATATAAATGATATTTGATACCACCCTGGGTATGGAAGAAAAGCAGTAATTAACTCATTCTGTCCTGGTCTGTTTCAAACTTACGCGACAAGCCTAATATCATAAAACATACTTTTTTATGAGCAGGATTTCTTTTGAAACTAACTTTGAATTTCATAAGAATCACAATAAAATGTCAGGTATATAATCCTGTGTATTAAATATCTCTTGTCCAGTAAACCAACGTGTTTACCTCTGTCTTTGAGTGAAGACTGACTGTTAATAGTCAAGCTATCAAGATGTGTTTTGAATGAAAGGAAAGAAATGTGCAAAAAGTATTACCTTTCCTGTGTTGCAGGTTAAAGCTCGAGCTACTACTAGAGAAGTGATGGCTACTTACACTATTGAGGACATAGTTATTGAACTTATAATACAGCTGCCTTCCAATTACCCCTTGGGTTCAATAACTGTGGAGAGTGGGAAAAGAGTAGGTGTGGCCGTTCAGCAGTGGCGGAACTGGATGCTGCAGTTAAGCACTTACCTCACCCATCAGGTAAGTCTCTGTGTGTACATTTGGCTTTCCAGATAGTCCTACCGACCTCTTTGAAAGGGCAGTAAGACTTGAAATATATCACTTCTGATTGAGGTTGGAAGAGATACTGTATTTGCTTGGGTCAACACAGATAAATGCCTGAATGACCTGAACCTACCTACTGCGCTGTTTTCCTTTTTAAAGTTCTGCATTTCTTTTTTCTTTTTGGTGTTTGAGAGGAGTTGACTTTACTCCACTGACATTGTGGATGACACAGAACTATACATGGTGTTAAAGACATTGTTTGAGAGGGAATCTTTTTGTAAGATACTGGATCGATGAATATCTTTGGAGCTACTTTTAGTCTAACATTTCAACTCTCCTTTTGTGATTAGAGAAATCCCAGTACTCTCAAAGATCTTTGACTTTTAAACATACTGTAGCTGTTTGCACGTTGAAACTATAAAACTTGATGTATTGGTGTAAAACCTTTCTTTCAGGTCTTTCTTTAGTGGACAAAATTCTATCTGGTTTCTAAAACTTGGAAGGTCATTTTAAAAACCAACATTCAGAAAACTTAGGAGATGTGAATATAGCCAGGAAGATTCTCTCTTTCTAAATTAAAATTTAGGGGTACCTGAGTGGCTCAGTTGGTTAAGCGTCTGCCTTCAGCTCAAGTCATGATCTCAGGATCCTGGGATCGAGCCCCATGTCATCGGGCTCACTCTCTCTCTTGTGTCTCACTCTCCCTCTCTCTATCTCAAATAAATAAATAAAATCTTTTTAAAATTAATTAGTTAATTAAAATTCAGCTTTAAAGTTTATGAAATTGAATAAAAATAACTTTGGTCTTCAGAGTCTATTTACTCTATTTTTTCCTTTTTGTTAACAGAATGGAAGTATTATGGAAGGCCTAGCTTTATGGAAAAATAATGTAGACAAACGTTTTGAGGGTGTTGAAGATTGCATGATATGTTTCTCAGTCATTCATGGTTTCAACTATTCTCTTCCCAAAAAAGCCTGTAGAACATGCAAGAAAAAGTTCCATTCAGCCTGCTTGGTAAGCCCAAAGAGAAATTAACTTATTTATATTTTATGTATATTTTTATGTATGATATCTAGAAAAGAAAATGATGTTAAACTCGTAATTGTAGTTAATAAGAAGCATATTAAAATGATTTTTCAAAATCTATAAAAAATAATTATTAATTTATGGAGACTGGTAGCATCAAAGCACTTTAATAAATGGGTGTTTTTATTATAGCTCTCTCACACAGTAGATGGTCCTGTCAGATCTAGACCATAAAGAAGACTGAAAAAACTAGGGCCATCTGGCCTTAGAGCTCTTTACTCTTTTTAAACATCATATTGAAAAGAAAGCTGCCCAGTATACAGTCGCTTCATAAGGAAGTCTTCCTGACATGTCTTAGTGGTTGGGTGGTGTGGGAGTCTAGGGAGAGAGAGTCGTACTGTAGCCTTTGGAAGTAATACTGAGTTGATTTTGGAGAGGAATGGGGGAAGCTAAAATTTTGGTATTCTCCCTTTTCCACTTAATCATTGTTAAGCTTACCTTGGATGTATATGTAAAATGACAGGTTTAAAAGGTTCTTTTAACATTTAAAAAAACATTTTTTTTTCCCAGTACAAATGGTTTACGTCTAGCAACAAATCCACTTGTCCACTCTGTCGTGAGACCTTTTTCTGAAAATTTTTCCTTCCATTGGAAGTGATCCTGAAGAAAATCAAACAAGGACTGTGGATCTGGATCCATCTTAAAGTGTTGATGGGAGGAGGCCAGTGAGCGTTACTTTTAAATAGGACCTTCTCTGGAAAATTATTTTGGTTAATGTAATGATCCTAAAATCAGGTTTACTTATCTTTAGATTGCTTTGTAAATGTTTGGAAACCTTTTCTTTTACATAAGAATATTACATATTTGAGAGAAAATATTTATATTAATAGTTTAATCTTTTTGTATATTTAAAAATAAATATGGAAATACCCTAAATTACAAAATTGGAATTTGTGAAAGCACTGTACAACTATATTATACTAAAAAGCCCACTAGGTTTGTTGACATATGTTCTAGAAGAGTCCCAAGTGAGGCCAATGAATTGAGAGGGTTGATTTATATCTACAGATATTTTAAGATTTATTTATTAGTTATTACAACAAAATTAATTAGTATTCTGATATTTGTAGATTATTTTAATGATAAAAATGAGGCTAAGCTATTAATATAGCTTATCATAAGCTATTTGAAGCATGCTCTGAAATCCTATATAAAAGAGTGTAAACTGAAATTTAAGGTGTCTCCATTAATCAAGGGTTATGAAATTCAGAAAATTAAATTCATGGCACTGAACTTTTGCTGTGGAAGAATTTCCGTTTGTTAGTGAAATTTGAATTGCAGTCTTGTCAGTGAGCTTATTACTCCATTTGAGTGAGTCTCTAGAGGGTATGAAGTTGAGAGAAACAGAATTAGATTATTTCATTCATGAAGCAGAGTGGTAGTTATCCCTCTATTGAGAGGGAAGAAATAAGTATTTCTGAAACTTAAGACTGGTGGAAAAAACAAAAATTTTTAAATGTTGTAGGAGGCTTTCAATTTTGTAAGCAAATTTTGCTATTCTTACTGGCCAAAGTTACACTAAATTAGAGATTTGGGGGAGCTTATTTTTTCCAGCCTTTACAAGTACAAGTTAATAATTTTAGTACTAAGTAAAATTCAGTATAATGGGCTGAAGTGGAATAGGTGAATATGTTCCATTTGCCACAGCACTGTTACCCTTAAAAAATTGTGCCCAAGTTATAAAAGTATGGAAGTTTGGAACTTGGAATAATTTTATTGCAGTCTTCCATTACATGGGAAATAGTAACATATCTGATAGCAAGTTTACTTGAAAGATCAGCTGATCATCTCTGTTGCAAATGTTTAATTGGCAAAAAGAAGTCATGTTAAATAAAATCACTGCTTACCGTCACCTGGGTAAAATGGTTATTATTGAAATAGGATGAATGTGGTCAGAGTATCATAGTCGAGAGTGAAGTATTATGCATGAATTATAGATCTCTTGAGTTGAATATGTAGATGGAGTGTCCTACCCAGTTTTGTCTGTCTCTTGGATTTTTCTCCCTAATGTTTATTATCTTATAGCCTTGAGACTCAAGGAGTCAGTGAGAACAGATAGCAAAATTCTACTACCTCTTCTTAACCCCTTTCTTAAAATATTCTCTATGTGTCTCTCTGACATAGTAATCCCGAAGGATTGTGTTACTCCTCTGTGAAAGTTGCACACTTTTCCTTTAAAAATGGTTTTATAATAAGACCTTGTTTATAACTTTTCCAATATTGGTACTTCTTGGCTTCTGACCCAGACCTCAAGTAGAACAGAAAAGGGAATAATGGAGCATTGTTTTTCCATGTTAGCATCTAGGGCATCAGGTTGTTGGTGAAACACTATAATTCAGTGGAATACCTACTCTTCATACTTAGGACTCTTAACACATTTCTTTGAGACTTGTAAATATAAGTGTAAAGCTTGTTACTGTTTATATGCTTAAGAAAAAGCTTTCCAGAATAAGACTGAAATTCAGAATATCATTGATTAAAGTTTTATTTATA